TATATAAATTTATCATTAGTAATATTTACTATTGGATTCTTATTTAAAATAAGTGCAGCACCATTCCACTTCTGATCTCCTGATGTTTATGACGCAATACCTACAATCGTTACAACTTTTGTAGCTTTAATTGCTAAAATATCTATATTTATCCTATTATTGCAATTAGTTTACTATACTAATAATAGTTTCTCAGAAATGAGCTGAACATTTATCTTATTAATGAGTTCATTATTCTCATTAATTGTAGGTACAGTTGTAGGTTTAACTCAGTTTAGAATTAAAAGATTATTAGCTTATAGTACAATCTCTCACGTAGGATTTATGTTATTAGCTTTAGGAATTTCTAGTGTTGAATCAACACAAGCATTCTTATTCTATTTAACACAATATATAATAAGTAACTTAAATATATTTATTATATTAGTTGCTATAGGTTTCTCTTTATATTGCTATACTAGTGATAATAAAGAACATGAAGAGTTAATGGATAAAACTAACTCTCCTATACAATTAGTAAGTCAATTAAAAGGTTATTTCTATATAAACCCAGTATTAGCTATAAGTTTAGCTATTACAATCTTCTCATTTGTAGGTGTACCTCCTTTAATAGGATTCTTTGGTAAACAGATGGTATTAAGCGCAGCTTTAGATAAAGGATTAGTATTCTTATCTATAGTAGGTATACTAACAAGTGTAGTAGGTGGTGTTTATTACTTAGGAATAATTAAAGAAATTTTCTTTACAAAACCTGATTATAAAGTAAATACTTTATTAGAAAACTTAACATTAAAAGGTAATGTATTGGACAGCAATAGAAGTGTTGTTAGAAGTGTAAACTTCAAATATAATAACATAGCTATCTCAAGTCCTATAGCTTTTGTTATATCTACAATAACATTAGTAATATTATCATTTATATTTATAAATAAAGAATGACTAAGCATGGGTACCATATTGGTACAAATCTTATTTAACTGTTAAATGAGTAGTGTTACTTTCTTATTTATTCTTGTATGTGCTATAGCTATATTATTCTTAGTACTTAATTTTGTATTAGCACCTCATAATCCTTATCAAGAAAAGTATAGTATATTCGAGTGTGGTTTCCATAGTTTCTTAGGACAGAATAGAGCTCAATTCGGAGTTAAATTCTTCATATTTGCATTAGTGTATCTAGTGTTAGATTTAGAATTACTAGTAATATACCCATTTGGAATGAGTGGATATGAAAACGGTGTATATGGTTTAATTATAGTATTACTATTTATAGGTATTATTACTGCTGGATTCGTATTTGAATTAGGTAAAGGTGCCTTAAAAATAGATAGTAGACAATCATACAACTATTTTAACAAATCAAAAAATTTTGTTAACACATTTATAGAAAATAAATAATCAATAATTAATAAAATTTAATTAATATATTAGCAATATGACAAGTATGTCTTTATTATTTTGTGAAATTTATATTTCTAACTAAAAAGCACAACAATTTACGAGATTTTTATTTTTTAATATTATACAAATATTATGTTACAATCATCAAAAATATTAGGAGCAGGATTAGCTACAGTAGGTGTAGCAGGAGCTGGAGTTGGAATCGGAGTAGTGTTCGGATGTTTAATCTTAGGTGTTGCTAGAAACCCTTCATTAAAAAACCAATTATTCACTTACTCAATATTAGGATTCGCTTTCTCAGAAGCTACAGCATTATTCGCTTTAATGATGTCATTACTTTTATTATACGTTGCATAATACGTATTAATTAAAGTTTATAGAGGATAGGGTGGGTAGGGTTGTTAGTATTACTAACAACAAATTAAACAATTCTATTTCAATTAGAAATTTAGTTATAATTACATTATGAAAAACTTATTAAATTCATTTGTATCTTTTGACGCACCTGTTGCTTGAGGTATTTACTTCCAAGACAGTGCTACACCACAAATGGAAGGATTAATAGAATTACATGATAATATTATGTATTACTTAGTATTAATCTTATTCGCTGTGGGATGAGTATTATTCTCAATAATAAGAAATTTTGCTGCTACAAAAGCACCTATATCACATAAATACTTAAATCACGGTACTTTAATCGAATTAATATGAACTATAACACCAGCTGTTATATTAATATTAATTGCATTCCCTTCATTTAAATTATTATATTTAATGGATGAAGTTAATGATCCTTCAATGACTGTAATAGCAGAAGGTCATCAATGATATTGAAGTTACCAATATCCTGATTTTATAGATTCTAATGAAGAATTTATAGAATTTGATTCATATATCGTACCAGAATCAGACTTAGAAGACGGTGGATTAAGAATGTTAGAAGTTGATAACAGAGTTATAGTACCTGAATTAACACACATCAGATTTGTTATAACATCTGGAGACGTTATACACTCATTCGCATGTCCTTCATTAGGTATAAAAACTGATGCATACCCTGGTAGATTAAATCAAGTATCAGTATTTATTAACAGAGAAGGTGTATTCTATGGACAATGTTCAGAAATATGTGGAATCTTACACAGTTCAATGCCTATAGTTATAGAATCTGTAAATATAGACAAATTTGTTCACTGATTATACAACGCTTAATTTAAGCTTGTGCAGCTATGCATAGATTGCATATTTTATCTGATAATAATATTATCAGTTAAAAGAGGTATTAGTTTAATGGTAAAACTTGATGTTACGGCCATCACATTTGTAGTTCGAATCTATGATGCCTCTAGTATAGTTTCATTTATAATGTCTATACTAAACATGTTTAGAATAATTTGATTAAATATTTAATTAAAAAATATGAGTTTAACTTTAGTACTTTTTTTAATAGGAATTTTAGGGTTCGTATTTAATAGAAAAAATATAATATTAATGCTTATTTCTATAGAAATAATGCTATTATCTATAACATTCCTAATATTAACAAGTTCTATTAATCTTGATGATATAATAGGGCAAACATATGCTATATACATTATAGTAGTTGCCGGTGCAGAATCTGCTTTAGGTTTGGCTATTTTAGTAGCCTTTTATAGACTAAGAGGAAGTATCGCAATAGAATATAAATAATGTATTTAAGTATTATTATATTACCTTTATTAGGATCTATAGTATCCGGATTTTTTGGTAGAAAAGTCGGTGTGACAGGTAGTCGTATAATTGGTTGTTCAAGTATATTAGCAACTACAGTATTAGCCGTTATCGGTTTCTTTGAAATAGGATTTAGTAATAATCCTGTTTCTATAACTTTATTTAAATGATTAGACAGTGAATCATTTAACATGGTATGAAATTTCCAATTTGATAGCTTAACAGTATCAATGTTAATACCTGTATTAGTAATTAGTACTCTAGTACACTTTTACTCTATAGGTTATATGAGTCATGACCCTCATAGTCAAAGATTCTTCAGTTATTTAAGTTTATTCACTTTTATGATGATCATATTAGTGACAGGAAATAATTACTTAGTAATGTTCGTTGGTTGAGAAGGTGTTGGAGTTTGTTCATACCTTTTAGTTAGTTTCTGATTTACTAGAATCGCAGCTAACCAAAGTTCATTATCAGCATTTTTAACTAACAGAGTTGGTGATGCTTTCTTAACAATAGGTATGTTCATATTATTATGATCTTTAGGTAACTTAGATTATAGTACAGTATTTTCAATTGCTCCTTACATTAATGAAAATATTATAACAATAATAGGAATTTGCTTATTAATAGGTGCTATGGCAAAAAGTTCACAAGTAGGTCTTCATATATGATTACCTATGGCTATGGAAGGTCCTACACCTGTATCTGCATTAATTCACGCTGCTACTATGGTTACGGCAGGAGTTTATTTATTAATACGTTCATCACCTTTAATAGAATATAGTTCAACAGTTTTATTAATATGTTTATGATTAGGTGCTGTTACTACAGTATTTAGTTCTTTAATTGGATTATTCCAACAAGATATTAAAAAAATTATTGCTTATTCTACAATGAGTCAATTAGGTATGATGGTTATAGCTATAGGATTATCTTCATATAATATTGCTATATTCCACTTAATTAATCATGCCTTTTATAAAGGATTATTATTCTTAGGTGCAGGTGCTGTTATACACGCCGTATCTGATAATCAAGATTTAAGAAGATATGGTGGATTAATTTCATTCTTACCTTTAACTTATACAGTAATTTTAATAGCTAGTCTTAGTTTAGTAGCCTTCCCATTTATGACAGGTTTCTATAGTAAAGATTTTATATTAGAATCTGCTTATGGTCAATATCACTTTAGTAGTATTAACGTTTACTTTATTGCCACTATAGGTGCAATATTTACTACATTATATTCAGTGAAAGTGTTATACTTAACTTTCTTAGCTAATCCTAATGGTCCTGTAAATTATTACAAAAATGCTCACGAAGGGGATATCTTCTTAAGTTTACCATTAGTTATATTAGCTATATTCTCTATATACTTTGGATTCTTAACTAAAGATATATTTATAGGATTAGGATCAGGATTCTTTACCGATAATAGTATATTTATACATCCAATGCATGAAATATTAATAGATACAGAATTTGCTGTGCCTACATTCTTTAAATTATTACCATTCTTCTTTACAGTAGGTTTTTCAGCTTTAGCTATAATCTATCCTGAATTTATGCCTAAATCTGTAACAAACTTCAAATTATCTAAATTAGGTTACTATGTATTTGGTTTCTTTAACCAACGTTTCTTAGTAGAATTATTCTATAATAAATATATAGTTAACACAGTGTTAGATTTAGGAGGTCAAACAACTAAAGTATTAGATAAAGGAAGTATAGAATGAGTAGGTCCATATGGAATGAACGTGATATTAACTAAAACAAGTAAAACTATATCTGGATTAAGTAAAGGAGTTGTAACAGATTATGCTCTTTATATATTAATAGGTGTTTGTTTCTACTTATCTATATTTAGTTTCGTATCAGTATATTTAGACTTCCATGTATCCTCTGACCCCGTCAGCGGGCGGAACCCAGGCTACTGCTTCGTCGACTTTCCCGACCGCGACTCCGCCGACCTTGCCCTTGGCTCCTTGAGCGCAACCATCGGCGGACGGCGTGTCAAGGTCGGTCGCTGCGAGCCCAAGAAGCAACGCAATTGAGGCCGGAACCACGACCTTGGCGACCTTTATCCCGGCCTCCAGCGATGGGGCGATTGGGCCACCCAATCCAGCAATGGCGGGACTGCCGCTGGCCCATTCGACGCAAACGAGATGAAACAGGCTCCCCACGGCGCCATGGATCATTTTGAAGATATGCTAGAAAGCTACGAGGGGCGGAGGCTCTATGTTGGCGGGCTGGGCAAGATGATTGACCAGCCTCAACACACCCGAGAAATCACGGAGCTCTTCTCCGACTACCCGCCGTATGTGGAAACCTCTTCATCCGTCAGCTGCATCGTGCCCTCGCTTATCACTATGTACATTCCAGGGCCGCCATTGGCAAACGCATCACGCCACACCAGACCACGAGGTCAAGACCAGGCAACCATCACTACTGCTTCGTTGACTTCAAAACAAGGGAGCAGGCGACCGCAGCCATGACAGCCTTGGACGGCAGGGTCGTTGCCGGTGGCAAGCTCAAGGTAGAACTAGCGGGCAGCCTACCGAACAAGCTAATGAAACACCAGGCCCGATGCCAACCCGAGACCTTACCATATTGACATGTGAGCAGAGTTGCCTTGCCGGGCACCGCTAGAAAATTTTTGATAGTTTGCTAGTAAGTGTATTTATCAAGTCTACAGTAGCAGTTCAACTCTCAACCAGCTACCGATACCGATACCTAGCCATTCCGATTGACTCTCCAATAGTAAATATCCTTTTTCCACTTGTCGGTTCAAAAAAACGGAGATCCATTGCAAATTCTTTAGTGATCCAGTTTCAGAGTACCGTGGCCACGTGATGCAACAACAATTACTATTGTAAGACCATCATACCCTGGCCATCCCAGACTTCTGGACGATACACACACGACCACGCATGCCCTCCCCAACAACCAGCTATTTAACGTCTTGTCCATGGAAGTTGCAGTCCTCCCGAGCGAGGTAGCCTTCAAGGCGATGTGTGAGAGGTACCAAACTTGGTCAGCACTTACTTTGGGAGAGAGCTGTGACAGATCAGCACCTCCCACTACACTACCTTGCCGACCACTTATACTTCCCAGAAGACCTTATACTAGATAAGTCTTTTACAAACACAGTCACCGTAAGAGGGAAAACCACATAGACAACCACCTAAAGGCCCTGTTCTCTCACTATTTCAGGAAGATGTGGTTATCCAGGTGGCTTTAAGCTACGTAACAACAATTGAATTCGTTTCTGACTCATATCCGGCAACAAGGCTTGGTGATTGCCTTGGCGTCAAGAGCAACCATGTTAACATTCTTACACTTCCTTGGGCATATATTCTCTCGGCTGGATGGGCGGAACATATTCCTGTAGCACGCTACCTACTTACAACAACCACCAAGATCAGCTTAACGCCGCGAAATAGGTCGAGAGGACCAGAAGACAACAATTATCCTATTGTGGTGGATGTGGGGGATGTGGATGAAGATGCTGTGACGGTAAGAGCTTGCCGGTGAACTGGTGTGTTCTGTGAAAATGTTCCCTTAGCCCACGCCCAGGGACGGTGGCGGCTTGACATAGCTTGCAGATAACGAGTCTATATTAGTTATTGATATGAATATAGTCTGTAATGCCGTGATCTTTCCGCTCTTGGCAATGTAATGATGTATTAGGATTCGTATTCGCTGCTGTTTTATGTAATGCGGCCCGATTCAGTGGTGCGTTCACCGTTGTATTATCTGTGAGCTGAATAAGAGAGTTGTTGATTACTTGTGATAGAGCTTGACGCTTTGGGGTCGGTGCCATATCCAGAGATGAAATAGAGCGCTTAGCTGTACTAGCTGACTGTGGTTCTGCGAGCAGGCATGTCCTTGGACTAATCTTGCTTGGTTGGTGAAGGAACTCATGCCAACGTGTCGATGCCCACTCATAGGCACGCAGCAACGCCGGTTGCAATCGCGAAGGATATGCGCCATCTAGCCCGTATGTTATACCGCGCTGTAGTGGGCGGTGCCCGCTCTGCCAGGCTAAGACAACGTTTAGATCTGCGTCAGATCCCCGATCATCATAGATATTAAACGGTGCCCGTACTTCACGCACGTGTCTTTCGGTAATTCCAACCGAAATTTGGCGATATAAACGCAGCCCAGCAGAGCAACCCCACACTAAACTTGTTGCTTTCTGCAGGATCGATGTAAGCCTGGCAGACTTCCATGTATTCCTATTGCTATGACGAAATAGGGGCCGTGTTTGGATGATATCCTCACTACTCCTGTGACAGTTGAGCTGCTCGCGGTGGAGTATATCGTTGAATCGCCGGATGTATGCCAGATACTTGACCATGACAATACCTAGGCGTGCGGGAAGAAAGCGCACCACATTAAACTCTCTAAAATACTTCGAACACCCGTTAAGTTGCCAAGGCAAGGGACTTAACGGCTGAATATCCAGCCCGAAGGGTAAAGACCTTGTATCCACGGTGAATATCCAGCCCGAAGGGTAAAGTCCGTGTCCCCACGGTTCAATATCCAGCCCGAAGGGTAAAGACCGTGTCCCCACGATTCAACTTCCTGGGAGAGAATGCGGCTTCAATTCATGGGGATAACTAAACGACAGTCGCCGTTGTCCTATCTGCTTCAACTCTACAGTGAAGGGCTTAGGTTGGCTGAATCAGAGGTCTGTCCACCACTTCCTGATACGCCTGGTCTAACTTCATACTATATACACAAAGAAGTTCAGTAATGTCTTACAGGAAGGCGTCGTCTAGTCAAGGTAGACTGGTGGATACGGTGGGCTGGTTAGCTGTTGAGCCTGACGGCGTTGTTGGTCAATGTAGCGCATCTTCATCCCTGCCATATAGTTAGCGGTAAAAGCATCACATAAAAAGACACAGATATATGAACCTTCCGTGGGCGTGTGGTTATAGAGGCTCTGACGGTCGAAAGGCGCTTCAAGGAGCAAGCCTTGCAGCGAGGTGACCCGTGAGATAGCAATATAGCCAATACCGGCCTGAAAGTCGCGCGTAGAGAGGTCAGTAACTATTCTATCCTTCGTTAGGCTTTGGCATTTGTGAACAGTGATAGCAAACGCCACAATTAGGGGAAACTGCGTGCGAGAGCAGGTCTCGTTGCCCACTAGGAAGTCACGGGTGACTGGGAGTATTGGGCAGATTTTCCTGCCTTCGGTAGTTGTTAGATACGACGGTCCGTCGTAGCTGTCGAAATCTACCATAATAACCGCTGGGGGATCTTTATATGGGTCGGCACCTGCGTTCCAGGCGATATCGTACACAGTGCCCTGGGCCCCGTTCACTAGGCCGGCTGGCTGCCATAAGGTAGATTAATCGTGAGCATTACCCTTGCGCCTTTAGCAACGGGAAATTTGTTGGATAGATTTCCAGCGTTGTCGCTTGGCGCTTGCGCTGCGCCTTTGCCCTGATTCTTTGCCTCCACTTGTATTGCTGGCGCGTTGAGGTGAACCATATGTTCGTAATTATATTCGTTGACCCGGGCCTTTGTAGAGTACACCCGCAAAGCTGCGCTAAAGCTGTCGACCTCGGTCTGTGTTAGCTTGGCCTGTACCCGACTGCTAAGAAGGTTCCAGGACGGAATAGATAAGTTAACTTCACGCAATTCCTGCAACGCCTGACGGAACCGGGCCTGCTCATCGCCAGCCTGGCGCTGTACCGTGGTCAGGAAGACGCTGCGGTCAAACAACTGGTAGGCGGCCTGTCCTTTCCTTTCCAACAAAGATAGGTTGGTGCTGGTCGAATACAGCGGCTTTTGCCGGACTGGCGGTAACTGGAAGAAATCACCCACGAGCAAGACGCTGACGCTACCAAAGAACTCGGAGCTACGCTGTGGAAAGGCCTGCCGGAGGCGGGAATCGATCCTCGCTAGCTGCTCAAGCCCTAGCATGCTCTTTTCGTCGATAACGAGGTATTTGACGTGCCGTAGGCGGGACTGAAGAGCAGCTGCGTCCGCTGGTGAAAGATCGGTAAAAGCACCACCTACTGGGAGACGTAATAGCGAATGAATGGTGCTGCCTTGTATCTGGTTACTCGCAACGCCGGTTGGAGCTGCGCGGCAAATAGGGCTAGGATCCGGTAGGGCAGTCGCCTGCAGATGGGAGGATAGCACTTTGATGAGGAAGGACTTGCCTGTGCCACCACCACCATCAACGTGGAGAAGTATTTGAGCTGGAGTTTTGGCCAAGAAGTGGCCCACGCAGGTGTCGTACACGAGCCGTTGTTGTGGGTTGAGCGGATCACGCCACTGAGGGCCAAGGACCTCCACATCGTTGGCTATGGGGTGGCTAGCGATGAGGTCTTTCCAGTAGCTGGCTCGCAATTCCGGATAAGTGCCTACATGCCGTGTCCAGTCATAATTAACATCGATATCGCGGCGGCCAAGTAGGTCAAGACCTTCCTGGGTAAGGGGATTGTCGGGCAAAAGCGCAGCGAGGCGCATCCAGTCTTCGTCATCATATTCTTCCTCCACGGGCAAAGCCTCGTATTGATCCTCTTGAGGCTGCAATTGAACCTCCTTTGGTCGGCCGTAATGGTCATCACTATGACTGTGGTGCTGCCAACAATAGGAGAAAGCCTGCACGTGAGAACGAAAAGTTTGGCCATCAAATGTCAGGAGCTCATCAAGGTGGCGATGGGGGTGATTCAAGGTCAGCTTAACACGGCAGTAATCCGGCCACTGTTGCCCTTCTGGATCAGCCTGATAGCGAGGGAAGTACACTAATACACGCGGCCTGCCGTTGACGTTTCCTGGCTGCCATTGCTTCCACTTGGAAGGGTCCCTAGGACGGAAGTTCCAGTATTTGAGGAAGGAAACGTAAGCCAGGTCCCCTAGGGATTCTGGGCGCTGCTTGTATTTTTCATAGACATTGGGGGCCTCGTCAACCTCATCACCATCCATTTGTAGGGAGCGGGAATGCCTGCCCGGTCTACGGCAGTCGACATATAGACAGGTCCGTGAGCCTTCCTGCAACGGCAAACCCAGGAGCAAGTGGCTCACCTCCTGCTTCGAGTAGTCCCGCTCAGCAACTAGCTGATTCAGGAGTTTTGACGTGAAGGATATCAGGGGATTCTGGTCCTTGACTCGTGGCATCAGGGCCTTCCCAATCTGGGCAAAAGACTCACTCTTCTTTTCCGACTTGGAACAGTATTTGGCAGCATAATCGACTACCTGCTGCAGGCTCGTGCAGGGCGAGATATCTGTATTGGCCAGCCACGCAACGGTCAACAGGCGGTTGTAGTGGTTAATCTGGCTATCGTTCCGCTCGCCCCTGAAGCACCAGTGCTTAGAATGAGGAAGCTTGTCAAGGGAGGCTAGTAGGCGCTGACCGTGAGGAAATCCAAAGCGGCACTCCACCTGCTTGGTACGCTTATTGAGCTGCATGCAGTAGTTGTTACAGTGGTGACGTTGTACACGGTTGACTACCATCGATAGGAGCTGAACGGTGAGGGGCTGCTGCAAAAGATTCAGGGTCAACGGATTCCCTTCTCCAGGGGCTTGTATTCGCTGAGGCTCTGGGTTGACAGCAGATACGTGGTATCCCCAGACGCGGGCGAAACGTGTTCGAGACTCGTCGTTGTCTGGATCTAGGTCGGGATGGCCACTTAACCAATATAGGCCGTGGTGGTGGCTAGACCCCCGGCCCTGCCACTCGTACCGACCCCAAAAGTCTATTAGGTTAAACTTCTGCTTCACGACAATGCTTCTAAACAGAGTATAGCGTTTATGGAAGTGGTAGGCGGCAATATGGGCGTTGTCTCGCAGCAGTTGCCGTGACAGGGCCATCCGGGCTGCCTCAGGAGCTGCTTGCCACTCCTGGAATCGAGGCATATGACGGTATAGGGACTCCCAGTGGTAATCAGCTGCACTTGCAGTGACGAAAAGGCCAGGCCTACCTAGGTTATAGGCATATGCTTCTAACTCCTTTCTTTGCTTATACCAATATGGCCGGGTACCCCTGATTACAGCGGCTTGGCGTGTGATCGACTGGATCATAGCCTGCGCCTCTGGCTCGTCAGGCTTAGCCATTGCCTCCTCTAGCTCAGCGCGTGTGAGGGCCCCACGGCGGCCTTCTTGCTGCCTGACGAAGTAGTTACTTCTCTTCCGGACCTGTGCACGTAGCAGCGTGTTGAAGGCGACGAAAGGCCACGTCTTATGGCGGGCAAAACGTCCATCTTGCCATCTCATCGCATGGGCAAGATAGTCCTGGTACGTGATGCTCCGCAGGCGGGGCTCTGTGAAGTCCGCCTTGCCCTCAGGATACAGGGTGGGGAACGCGAGCGATAACAGCGGCTGGGAATGGTTGAATTCGTTGATAGGGGTCCTGCGAATGGAAGGCAATGACATCTGGTGCTGAGCCTGCGCACCGCGCGACATATCCTCAAGAACAGTAACACCCTCATAATCAGGTGTACCGTTGAAGAGTCGGGACTGCAGGGCGTTTAACTCGGTTTCGGTAACCTGCAAATTCGGGATAGCTGATGCGTCGGCATCGCTTGGCTCCTCTTCCTCTTCTGCGGCCTCCGCAACAGGGCCGTGGGGCGCCTCGCTGTCAGGTATGTCAGCCACTTGGCTGACAATGGATTCAATTATGCTGCCATCAACAGGAAGCCTTTGCAGGAGATCCTCGCGCACAACAATTTCGCGATAGCCCGGGTGGTGGCGCTGCAAGTATCGTAGCCAAATCAACAGGCATGAGCGGCGTACCCGGAAATCGCGAGCAAACTGTTGCTGGGGGCGAGGCTCGCCGTCCATAGTAGGGGGCCGTAGAAGTACGATATCTAGGTTTTCAGGTAAGACTGGGAGCTCTTGAAATAGCTTACCAACATTGCGAAGGAAGTGGACAACGTGACCGCGGTATTTGTATTGGGTGCCACGTACCTGTAGAACCTTCACATGTACGTGAACCCTGGCAATAAGCATCTCTTCCACTATCGTCAGATCAGGTAGATTGTTGGGGACTTCCCCAAAGTCAAGGTTATTAGCAGCACTGAAGAAGTAGGGCTCGTCCGAGGCTCTCTTCCTGTCTCGACTAATGCAGCGGCTGCAGATGTTCAATTTATTTCGCTTCATATCGAACCAACGCTCCTTGCAACGAAGGCAGCTTAGCATGTTATCGTCATTCAGGGCACTATAGAACTCCCGCACAAGGACTTGATCTTCCTCACTAAGGGCAGGCAAGTTGAGGTCTCCGGTAAAGGGTGAATCAACTATCTGATTGAACTGTCGCTCTTGCGGCTGTGGCCGTGGCCGTGGGTTAAAAGTGCGTTGACGTGTATAGCGGCCGCGGCGCTGATTCTGTGGCGGTAATGAAGGAGTGATAGGAAGCGATTCCTGTGGTATAGGGGTGCCTAGCACAACAGGAGCCGCAGAAAGAGTGCTTGGAGGAATCGGTGTGCCCAGAACTACTGTTGGCATGCTAAGCGTCGGAGTAAATGAAGAAGGGTTATCGACTTCGCCTGGTGTGAACGGTCCCTGGACTGCAGGAGCCAGGCTACGGAATAAAGCAGGCGTGGAAGGAGGCTGTTGGCTGTTCACAGGCAAAGGCGTTGGCGCAGTCCGCCTCGGAGGTGTCAAGTCAGCTAGCAAATCGGTCCTCTTCGTAGCCTTGCGTGGCGATAGCCTCGACGCGATATTCCGCAAGCCAGCAATGGCTGCTCGGGATTCGGCTACCCGCTCCTTTTGGCGTACCCTGCAGCTGGTACACTGTCCTGTAAACTTCGTAGGGTCCTTGACGCTTCGAAATTCGACTTCGGGCAGGTCTCGCTTGCAGGTACGGCAGTTGCGGACTGCTTGGGGTGGTTCGTCCTCCATCTGGCCGCATTTATATCCACCCGGTACTCCTTAGAATGTTGAATATCGTTCGAGCATGAGGCTTGGTGAGGACTTTACATGGTTGTGATATATTTGACGGGAAAGGAATAGATGGTGTAACTAAGGTGGCCCGGGAATTATTCGACCAAAAAGTTGATTGATTTGAAGAAACAAAAGAAGTGCAAGCTCTCCGAGAGCTGGCTACTGGTTGCCTTGTCGACGCTCAGGGGTTTTGTGGGGAAACCTTCATTTGGTGGCGTTAGCCGACCAATTCCAGCACGAGTTGAGTACAGGGAAAGCCAATTAACCAATCAGAGGGGGTTTTATGCTCAATTCTTTCTGACTGAATAGAACGCCCTTCGG